GAATGAGTGAGGTTTTGAGTATCGGTTTGTCTGTGTTATTGTGTATGGGAGTGTCCAATTTTAGGTGATTTTATACTTTATTTCATTAATTTTACCATTCAACTTTACTCTTTTTTTGTTTTTTTTAAATACTATTCTAAAACGCATATAGGAGCCCAACATATAGGACAAACTTCTTTTCCAACTTTTTGTAACCTTCAAACGTGTCAATTCGTAGTTATCAACACGTTAATTCGTTATTGATTAACTTACAAATAGATAGATGAGATGAATACAAACAAGAAAAAGTTCTAGACTAAGTTGTGAACCCATTTTGATTTTCTTTTTTCAATTATTTTTAATTATTCTTTTTCATTTGTCGCTGGTACTTTTTTTTGTTCTTGGTTTTCAGAATTTCTACAAAGAATAAAACTATGTGCACTAACCAATATGTACTAATCCAAATACTAACATTAGAAATTTGAAATTCCCTCTAAAAAAAAAATTTAAATTTTCAATGTTAGTACTTGGATTAGTACACATTGGTTAGTGCACATAGCCTTACTCTTCTACAAAATACGACATATTCTCGCTCAAGGTTTGACAAAATCTTAAGTTAGTATCATTAGTTTTATTTATTCCAGATTTTCACCGTATTATGAATTTTTAGGGTTTAGAGAATGTAATTACTATAATGCCCTTAACCCTAAATTAATAAATTATGTTTTAACCCCTAAATTAGTAGAATTACAAAACTTACCATTTTATTTTCAAATTATATAAAAAAAAAAACGCTCGGTCACTATACACCCTCGCCAGAAACAGCCCGATCTAGGCTGTTTCCAACGACGTCGAACCCCTTGGTCACCTCCATCACCTTCCCCGTAGTCTGTCATCCAAAACCCCTCTGGTTCCCAACTCATTTTCCCCTCCAATCTCTGGCACCGTTAGGCTTAGGGTTTCGGTGTTCTTCACCGGATTTCTGTCGATTCCGGCGGTGAAAATCCAATTGGACACCACCAATGCAACCACCGTCCCCAAACCTATAAAACCCCTATGTCCCAAGCAACCGTTTCGTCGTCATTCGCTGGCCGAGAGTTCGTGTTCATCGACCATTTTTCGTTGCTGTGGCCGGAGATCGGCGAGTGATGAGGGATTGTGAATGGTATGGTTTTGTAGAGGGGAGGATAGGGGTTCAAATGGTGGTGACAAGGGTGATTTTGGGTGGAAGAATCACCGAAAAAAAGCGAAAAACGTCGGGAACAATGGCTGCTAATGTGCGCCGGAGGACTGTTAGAGGCAGTGGTTTGCTAACGTGCGTCGCCTATGTAAAATGACCAATTTACCCCTTTATCATTATATCAAACGTTTTTCTGTCACTTTAAGGGTGAGAATCTGGAATAAATGGAACAAATGGTACTAACTTGGGATTTCGTCAAACCTTGGGTGGGAATATGTCGTTTACTCTTTAATTATAAAGATTAGGTTGGATTATTTTACTTTTGGAGTAAACGTACTTTTCCCACCCAAGGTTTACCTTCATGATACTTTCCCATGTAAAAAGTTTCAAAATACTATTTTCTCACCCAAAGTTTATATTTCGTTATTTCGTTATTCCGTTAATACCCAAAATATTCTTTACTTTCTTAACCGGTTTTCGTGAGTTACTATGAGCCAAGTTAAGATAGGTTTTATAGAGTGGAGTCGATAGATAGAATGGTGGTGACCGATTGAATATTCATCATCGGAATCAACTGAAAATCAGCTAAGAACAGAAAACCCTAGCTTTGTTGTGGCGAAATATTAGGTGTTGAGGTGAGAGAGGTTTTGTAGAGAAGAGACCGAAGGTTCAAATCAGTGGCGGATCCAAGATTTTTGCCCAAGGGGGCCTCCGCAGTTTCACCATTATTTGTCAAATAATTAGTGAAAACTTAAAAAAATTACCAAATCTTTAAAAAAAAATAAAGAAATAACAATATCAAGAACCTGACAGAAAAGAATGCAATAACACAATATTTTTCTACTTTAATAAATCTATAAGAAGTAAAATTTTGAGTAAACCTTGGGCAAAACCTTTTTTTTATTTTTGGCTTCTAAAGATTATAATATAAATTTTCATGACTTTGATCAGACCTAACATAAGCTAAAGTCAACTAAAACTTAAATCAAGTCAACGTTGTGTTGACTTTTAATATGAATTAATAAAAAAAAAAAAAGGAATTTTATTAAAATAAACATAGATAGTAACTTCAATTTCTTTAATAATTTTGAGTAGCTAAACAATGACATTTGAAATGTAGGAAGGTGGTGAGTGAAGGGTGAAAAATAATGTCCTTTAAAATATAATTAATATTTTAATTTGGAAAAACAGGTTCATTCTTAGAAACAAAACACAAAATAAATTCACAAGATCCATGTCTTTTTCCCTCAAATTAGAATAAAAAACCTCCAAAAAAACAAGCATGATTCAACCCTAAAATAAACTAAATTGAAATAAGCAATACACATACCTAAAACTGATAAAACAAAAAACGAAGCTAATTGTGACATCTTGAGTAGTGAAAGCTTCAATAATTTCAGTCTTAAAAATTTTTAAGAGCAAATAGCATGAAAAGGAGAAAGAGAGAGTAAAAAATTTTGGGGATAAAATCATAAAAAACAGGTAGAGTCGTGGAGAAAAAGAGTGGATAAAGTTTTAAACTTTTAATATGATGTGAGTTTGAAATATATATATTAATAACAAGTTTTTTGTAGACCTAGATATACGTACGTATAATAGTTCTTATTTTTAAAAAATAAGAGAGTGGGCCTGAATATATATATTAATAACAATTTTATGTGGGTCTATCTATTAATAATTTTTTTTTTTTTAAATCTGAGGCTAGGCCTACTCTCAAAAGGGTTGGATTCGCCCCTAGTTTAAATGATGGTGATGGGGACAACTTTCACAGTTGAAATTAGCTTTGGATATTAACGAAATAGGTAATACTACACTTACAACTTTCTCGCTCATAAACTTTCTCTCACAACCTAGACGTGTTAGATCGTAAATGAGTCTCGCTTACTCACTATGGGTCCCACCTACCCAATTGCGAGTTGTCATATTGGGGTTGTGAGAGTAAGTTTGTAAGATTGGGTTGTAAGCTAATCTTTATCTTAACAGAACATAAACTTTAGGTGAGAAAGTGATATTTTAAAACTTTTTTGGTGGAAAATGTCATTAAGGCAAACCTTGGGTGGAAAAAGTCGCTTACTCTTACTTTTGAGATTATTTAGACATTATATTGTAGAAGAAAGAAGAGAAAGCAAAAGAAGTAAAGAAGGAAGGAAGCTCTGGACTGTTCTAAAGTATTAAAGTAATAAAACCATGTGGCCATTAAGATAAGGAACAGACATATAATGATTGAACTCATCTCTTTTGTTTATGACACATTGCCAAATGCCAAATGCCAATCTTCCAATTGACTCAACTAAATTCTTAGAAACAACTAAATTTGTCACATTCTGTAATATTAAAACTTCATGCTATGATATATTTAATTGAATCAACACCAACCCTTGGATTTGTTTAACTGATCATGTTTATTATAATCAAAACAAAAAAGCTTATGAACAAAGGTTGATAACGCTAGGAGACATATATTCTAACATTTCCATAAATAAGTTTAGGGCCAAATCAAGAGACAATTGTAAAGTCATGCAAGCCTAAGCAAAAAGCATAGTAAGGATATAAGTATCGAAGCCCAAAAGTTAGGATAAAGATTGATTCACAACCCAATCTTATAAATTTTATCTTGTAACCCTAAAATAACTGTTTACGATTGATCAGTTTGTAAATAGGTAGGCAAGACCAATAGCGAACGGGCGAGTCCTATTTATCAACCTACAAAAATAAGGTGGATCAAAGGAAAAGTCAGAAAGAGCCCAAACCCTCATATTTTACAAGTTACAATCCAATTCTTTAAGAATAGGAAGTCAAAGAGAAATAGAAACACCATCTATACGATACCCCATTATCAAGGTTATGCTTCATGACTCCTTACCTTAAGGGACAAGTCATAAAACCCATAATCAAGAACCCTTATAACATGGGGATTGCAATTGAAGAAGACAAGTCAAATTTTTACTACAAGCAAGCTTAAACACATTTAGGCTTTACGCTACCAATATTGTTTCTTTACTTTTGTAATCTCCATCAAGGTTCCACCATATCTTTGTACCTATTGGGATTAATGGGATAATAAGAATCTTATCATTTTTGGGTCAAACAACCAGTATCTTCTCTTCAATTCTATACCTGATATATGCAAGCAAATCTAGATCCAACGAGTTTCATTTTTTGCATAGATATGATGCTTAGGGGTGAGCATGGGTAAATGGTAGAACCGGAACTAACCCTATTAGGGTTCGGTTCCAGTTTTGGAAAATTGGAACTGGAAATTTTTGGGTCCAATTTCAATGCCTATAATGCTAGAACCGGAATCAAAACTGGAACCAAGGTCCAAGTACCCAGTTAGGAATCGAGACTGAATTGTAATTTTTGTAAATTATTGGACGTGTATTAGTAATTTTTTGGGGGGCATATTTGTCTTTTTTGTAAAAGTTGGGGGTAATTAAAATTAACTTGAGTACTCAGAACAAGAACCAAAACCTATGTTTCAAGTTCTGATATCAGGTTTTTAGGAACCAGAACCATCTGGCTCCAGTTCTAGTTCCAAATCTTAGGTATCGACTGATTCCCGTTCCAATTCCTTCAAAAATGTAGAGCACCCAAAACCGATCACCCCTAATGATGCTATTGCCAATGATTGTGTTCTAGTAAGCTTCCAACCCTGTTACTTCTATTTTAGTAGGATTATCAGCTCCATATATAAGAGGGAAAGTTTGAAAAATGAAAAAGAAAAGTGCAACCCTCAGCCGTTGATTGTTCCTCAAATAAAGGGCAGACAACCAAATATAATATAATATTTTTCCTGTAATTCTACGTTACAGTAAAAAAACTACAAAAGTGGAAACGCGATACAATTCTTAATATAATGACGATGACCAGCAAACAAATCTAGAAACTCCCGAAAAACAAACGCTTATTGATATTAAAGAAATAACATCCGCTTCACTCACCAAGCTTCTCAAGAGCTGCACTGCTCAACCACCATAAACGCCATTTATGATCAACCACTTGAGCTCCCATCTCTTCGTAAAACTTAATAGCATTATCATTCCAGTCAATCACAGCCCACTCAACTTTCCCATACCCCATTTTCACAGCTTGTTTCGCAACTGCACTCAACAGCATCCGTCCAAAACCCTTCCTTCTGTAACACTCTCTCACGAACAAATCCTCGATGCAAAACCCGTGTTTCGCGAGAAATGAGGAATAATTCGGAAAAAATGAAACGAACCCAACAACAGTAACATCGTTTACTTTATCAGAGATGAATGTTTCGCGCTCGGGATCGGTTAGTGGATGCTCTAAGTGAATGACACGGTCGGAGGGGGTCAAGGGGTTTGGGGAGACTTCGAGGAGGAAGATAGTGACGGAAGTGAAGGGGGCGTATTTGAAGAGGGTGGCGGAGAGAGAAGATTCTGTGGCGGAGAAGTCGTAAGTGAGGTGTGAGAAGACGGCTTGTTGGTGGAGGAGTTTGTAGATGCGGGGGACGTCGGCGGGAGTGGCCAGACGAATGCGGGAGAAGAGAGAATGGGAGGGCTCCATTTTTTTTTTTTTCTGGTTGGAGATAGAAGAGTTCTGGATGATTCATGATGAAATTTATGAGGAGAGAATGATAGTGAATTTCAACCACCACCATGGAAATTTCAGTAAGACAATAATATAAAACTTGATGTGGCGAAAATTTTATTCCAACTTATAATATAAAAAAGAAAAGTTTACATTTGATAGGGATTTGGTAATGTTGTTGAGTAACGCTTATGTATAATCTTTTGACAACTGCACATTGTTATGCCTAAAAAAGTAGTGCTGATGTAGAGTCTTGTCAGCATAAAGTGGTCAGGATTTGGGAAAGTTTTGCAACTGTTCACGCGCACCCACGTCGTATAATGACATAAGTGGCATGCTCCTGTCAGTGTAGTGGGTGAGCGTCAAGTTAGCGAATGGTTGAATATCGTCCAGGTGTCTAATCCCTGTACAAGTCGAGGAAATCACTCAGGTAGGTAAGCAATGGGACGCAGAGAAGGATTTGCACGGTATTCGCCCCACTTGCAGAATTAGTAATCATGACCTTGGTTTATCCCACTATAAATAGATGATTTCTCTCTCATTTGCGGGATTAGCTAATTTCACTCTAGAATAACTCTCTCTCTCTCTCTCTCTCTCTCTCTCTCTCTCTCGTATTCTCTAAGCTATAACTCAGTTCGCTGAATGCGGCCTGACTTTACTCTCTCATTAATACAATATCAGTGGATGTAAGATTCGCTCTTGAGTATTCGAACTACTTTCACTACAAGAAAACTGACTTTCTGTGTCTAGCAAAATTAGACGCAGAAAGTCACATTTAGACGCTAAACATTTTTAGCGTCTAAATTCGGTAGTCGCCCCCTTAGTTGCAGTAGGCTGGTCGCAGATTCATAGCGCGTCTATATTGTGGTTTAGACGCAAAAAGTTTTTTTTCTCCCGCGACCACCCGTCATCAACCACCAATTAGTCGGCAAATGTTGTTCAAAATAGTCCCCCAACTTAGACTAAAAGTTGAAGGGTAATTTGGTAAAATTGTATGGACTAATCAATTAGTTGCAAAATGTCGGTTCAGTGTCTAATAATTTGCGCGAATCCCACGCAAATTAGTCGCCAAAGGTGTAGGGTATTTCGTCAAGGCTTTCGCAACTATTTATTAGTGGCCGAATGTATCTTTTGGTGACTAAAATTTAGTAGTTAATTATAGTCATTTTAGACGCTGAATGTGGAATCCAATAGGTTTTCGCGACTATTTTATAGTGGCCGAATGTATCTTTTGGTGACTAAAATTTAGTAGTTAATTATAGTCATTTTAGACGCTGAATATGGAATCCAATAGGTTTTCGTGACTATTTTATTAGTGGCTGAATAAATCTTTGGTGACTAAAATTTAGTAGTTAATTATAGTCATTTTGACGCTGAATGTGGAATCCAATAAGTTTTTGTGACTAATTTATTAGTGACCGAATGTATCTTTTAGTGACAAAAATTTAGTGATTAATTGTTATCATTTTAGACGCTGAATGTGAAATCCCAAATGTTATCACGACTATTTTTTAGACGCTGAATAGGAATCAATTATACTTAAATTACTTTTGCTACTAAAACATTAGTTGCAGATGTGTTTTTTTAGAGCATTTCATATTGACTTCCAACGGAATGCAATTATGCTAAATGTTTTTGTACTGAAAACTTAGTTGCAGAATGTGGTTTTTTTTTAGAGCATTTTGTATTGACCTATTTATACATTCAACATGAACAAAATAATGGACACAAATAAAAATCTGATCACTAAATCAAAAATCATATTTTCTACATATATATATAGTCCATACATGGATTTTATGCATGATGAGCAATAAAAATCCAAAATGCACTATCACATGTGTATAACCCAAAGAACAGCATGCACCCACATTTTCCTTTCTCTACCTATCTATCTGTGCATAACTAACAAAAAAAATGCCCACCCATGTACACCATCTAACACATATATGCAAACAATCCTAAAAAGAGGTTCTACCCCATGTCAAAATATCTTTTGTCCCTACAACACAAAAATAACCATCGAGTCGTTAGCATGTCAAGTGTCACCAGTTCTGGTATTGAAATAGCTGTACCTGATGAGGACGAGTCTTATCAGTTCGAGAAGGAAGTGTCGTCGAGTTGGAGCTTTATCAGATTTCTCTAGTTCAAGGGCTATAGTAGCTGCTTCATCATCTCTAACAGGAGAATTGTGGGTTCAAGGCTTTCTATTTTCTCTTTTGCTGACAAATAAGATTAACTGGTCTCCAACTGTTTAATCTTATTTTCTTGTTGTTGCACAATGCACCTTAACTCAGCTTGCTGTGCAGTGGATTGATGCAATATGTGAAAATGCAAAATCTGTTAAATCCGGAAGCTTTACCCAGAACTTCCTCACATATCTCAGCTTCTGTTTTTTCACTTTCCCCTGCTTGTGTTTCCTCTTGCAGCTCTATCATTTTTCCTACCATCAATTGAATGCATAATCAATAAGTCAACCAACAAACTAAATAGCAACATAAAAGAATACACAGCAGCAAACAAAAATAAGTCTGATGGAATAGAGAAGCAAGTATCTCAAACATTATCAATCTAATACTAAAAGGAAATTTCTGACATAAAGTTTTTCTTATACACATATAAGCAACAGATTTACATTCACATATCCATGCATAAACATGCTAAGTAATTGGAAAGATAAGGGCGGTTGCATTTTCTCTAACACATAATTCTGCAAGAGGCATATTATAAATCTGTGTTTTAATTTTGCAAGAGGCAAAACAAAGCCATATGTATGATTTGTACATATGCATTTCCCATTTCAAAGTGTTTAAATCTGTACTACTCATCAATGTATAAATTTGTACATAATTATAAATCTGTACATACGCACATAAAGATGACAGAAGATTTTTATAACCACATAGGATAGGAGTTTCATTTGTATAGAATATTGAAGAAACAAAAGATTATAGTTTCCTACTTCCTTCCTACACTTAAACACTTCAGTTTGGAGAAAGATATATAAAACAGAAGCCATCTTGATTGAATCACATCTATTGTATTGAGCTTCCTCATGAGTTAATAGCCAAGATAGAAGTTGAACTTTAGATGAAACTTTTGCCTTCCTTCTAAGCTCTAAAATTGGAACTTATAGCAAGAAGCATCATTGATTGACCAAATAAAGTATGTTCAAAGTAAAATACCCTGATGGTTCTAGATTCATGCTTATGTTCCTCTTTCATATCATCTAGAGATGTTCTTTTGAGGCAGAAGGGATGTTAAGTATCTTCATCATCTCTCAAGTCTAGAATATACAAATTCCACCCAAATGATTTATTAAAAACCAGTCTACTCTGAACCTTATTTAATTTATTTTTTGCTCTAATTTTCTACATATTAATCCAGACTGTTAAGTTCAATCCAAACAGATTATAAACCATTAAACAGGTTTTCCTACTAGCCAACCACAGAAAGTTATAAAAGTTGGTAACACTCAGGAAAACTAAATGCCAATATCAAACAATACTAAGCAACAACATATTACAGGTGATCAAAAGATGACAGAGAAATGCAATGAGTCTCAAATAAAAACAAATCCAGCATGGAATATGGAAAGTTACAAAAATGAAACTTACATATAGCTCTCTTGCTTGTTCATTAATCCACCCTTTCTCCGCGCTCCAACGAGTGTCATGAAATAATTGTATAGGACCGACAGATTCCCCAACTTGTTGCGCCTTAACAGTTCATATCGTCATTGACCATAAATTGAAATAAATTTAGTCAACAGGACAACAATGTTGTATATTTGTATAGGTGAATCATATTAAATACCTTTTCTTTTTGTGCTGGATAAAGTTCTTGGAACACCGCGGGGTTACACCTCATCTTCGACCGTTCTCAGTGTAAGTTTTTGACCGGCCAACACCACAAAATCAGGAAATTAAAATACAATACATATAACAACATAAAAGCCATGTTGACCTTACCTGATAATTTTCACTCAAAAAAAGGTCACAAGATATATCCAATCATCAGGATTTTAATTCTTCTGGTTATTCTGTAATGCTTCTCCTTAGTAGCATATGCTTGAATTTCTTGTGTAGGGCACTCCGGAAGCTGTTGAATCTTACACAATCTGTGCTTCAGCCATTTCAGTACATGGGGCTCCGTGACATCAATGTCAAACTTGGTCTAAATTCATCAATAATGTACATGCATTAAACTTATATGGGTAATATATATTTTTTTGTTAGGAAGTATGACAATAGGATAGATATAAAACTACATTACCGTGATCCGAGCAATCATTTGTTTTTCGACATCGTACGGAACTTTCTTCCAAGTGAGCACTCTTACGGGGGCATAGTTCCTCGCAACTATTCCTACCTCTGCACTCAACTTTGATGCATTTACTCCAGTAGGTCACTCTTCTTTGAAAGTCTACATGCAACTTTGACTGCGCTATTTGTAGGAGTCTTTCACATCAACTCCTCTACTCTCCCTCTCACGTTCTTCGCCACTATATTCTCTACAAAATCAAAATAATGTATCAACAGTTAATACTATGTTATCACAGGACGGTTTACATGTTGGTAAAGTAAAATGATTCTTAAATTTTAAACAACATTGTACTTGATATCTAAAATCCAAGTATATATTTCAGTATGCTATATGGACCAATCTCATAACTTTACCAGTGATTGTGCAATTTCAGGTGTCGGTACAGGACTATGATTCTCTTGAACAACATTTGCACGTCTAGCTAGGGTCCTTCTTCTACCAGGAGCCATCTTCGGAATCTGAAACATCAACATAAGAGAAAATGTACCAGGTAAGATATAAGTCAATTTATACAATTAATCTCACGACATTAGATCATTAACTATATTTACACATTCAGAAAATAGTAAAGGTACATATAATCATACAAGCATACCATCAGAAGTTGTTATCAGAATCACTCATTAAATCATATTCCTTTTAGACCCCAGGT